ATTAAGTCATAGACCAGAATAATAAGAAATTCTCCTAGAATCAAAATGTCGCCGAGAAAATTGTACTTACAGAAGTATCGACGCAGAACCATCAAAGAAAATCTGAATGGAGCGAAATTGATTTGAAAATTTGTTTCCCTACTGAAAATTTTAATTAATTTCTGCGTAGTGTAAAAAAAAATTTGAATTGAATTTATTGGTAAACAACCGATTAAAAAGGGCCGTGACGTAAGGGCTTGTGGGAGAGAGCAGGTAACACGATTGTTTCATGCGAGTCACAACGTAAACATATTCCTCATCCAATCTTCATAAATATAGATCGAAATCTAGACTAATGTAAAGAGGTTGGGCGTTGTAGCGGATAAGTGAGTTCAGAACCAGAAAAATTCATCTTGAACTTTTGCCTACAAAATTTTTTTTTCACAGGAACTTGGGTTTTCAAGCGTTTTTACACTGATGGCTAACGAGTGTGCGATATTTCCCAATCAAATGAGCGGGATGCAGTTTTTCTGGCCCTCCAATGATATGTATATGGGCTGCAGCCCAAATACACTGACACAATTGCAAGAGAAGGTCTTACGATCGTTATCTAAGAGACAAGAGGAAGAGAATTTACAAGTGGTTCCCGAAAACAACAATGTTTTTGACGATTATTCTTCGAATCCCTGTCAATTGACGCACGAAACCCGAGACTGCTCCGGCTCAAGACTGCTGCCTTTTTATCAAGACGAAAATAAACTTAGCGCTCATTTCCCATGGAGTCCAGGATTGCATAAATCACCAATAACGACTACGTGTACATCTTTAGAACCCTTAAGCACTCCCACATTTCCATTTTCGCCGCTTTTGAAGAGTCCAGGTTTTTGTTCGGCGCCCAGAAGTCCGTTAGCCATGATGGTGTTAAGCCCGTTCGGCCGAAAGCCTTCCGAAGATCTCTCCGTGTACTTACCGGAGAATTTCACTCCAGCAACGACTTTAGAGCGTCTTGAGCGATCGATTACCAGTACAGTGTTCCAGTTTCCTTCCGTTGAACAAGATCAGGATGAAGCTAAGGAAACAAAGCGCAACTGTAATGAGAAGGAAATTTCTGACGAGAAGGAGATCGACGTTGAAGACATAAATGTTTATGGGGAGGAGGAAAATGGGTTTTATTTAAACACGCGAGAGGTATTCCTTGATTTTAACGATGCCGAGAACTTTGGAGGTACTGAGATAGTTAGAGATGACTTCCAAAAGACGACTAATTTGAATCAGACTAAAGACGGAAAGAAAAAAGTGAGAAGCAATAAAGGCAATGTAGACTGTTTCTTAGGGATTGGTTTTAGGAATGGACTCGAACGAAAACGTCGAAGCGAAATGAATTCCAAATATGAAAAATTGAGGAGATTTATACCCGAGCTAGAGAACAGACAGAAAGCTTCGAAAATACTCGTACTCAGAACCGCAGCACAATACATAAAAGAACTACAGAGGCAAGATGAACTACTTAGTAAGCAAAAAGACATGGAGAAACGTAGGAATGAAGAACTACTGAAAAAGCTTGTAAAAATAAATTCGTAGTCCAAGCTTAAATAAAAATCGACAAACATAAATTTCAAAAGATAACGAACTGTCGCATATACCAATAGTTTGTATTTCATTAAAATAAAATAGCCACAACGAAACGGTTTGTATCTGTTGCTTTTCTCGTTGAGTTTTGGCGAGGCTAAGAGAATTTTGTTTAATTGGTTTAGACTGCATTCAAAACGCCTCTACCGTTCTTAACTTTTTTAAAACTACGCGACAGAAAAAGTGGGCTGTGTTAATTCTGTCGTACGCGTCTCTAGGTGACACTCTCCTTGAACAAGCATTCCACCTAAATGGAAACTTAAGCTTCGAAGCTAACTTGGATACAAACCAAACAATCTGACTTCTTGTCAAGCTTTTGTACATTTAAACGTAGAATAGCTTCAATGGATATGTGCTTTACATTTTTTATCTGTCAAAGGACTCTGGAAATTCTACGGAAAGAAGATAAATTGTATCTTACATATCTATATGTATGTGTCTCTTCTCTTAGCATCCGGGCACTTCAATCGTATAAATTTACCCACGGGCGGGATTTTACGACTGTTTTAGTGAGATAGCCACCCAGATTAAGAGACACTTACAGAGTTCTGATTGTTTTGTTCAGTAAAGTCAAGACAGCTGTATTATGATATACTTTCCTCCCACGAGACAATGTCGAAATCTGGCGCGAACGTGGGACAGGGGAAGGCTTTAAGTTCCCCTTGCGGCATTTTGCTTTTGGTAGTTCCCACTTGGCGCGCGCGGTCGGAAAGTCCACCAATTTTGGCGCAGACAGCTCGATAGCGATGGCTGTGATCATTTCTGAGACCTCCTGCAGCTTGAATGATTTGCTTTTTTCTTCTTTTTTTTCTCTTGGACCCAGATATTACCGATTCAGAGTAACTTTTAGCATTGTATTTATGTTCTTTAGTTAAAGATCGAGAAGAATGGGAGCACATTTCAACATTAACTCCCAAGATCTGATTGGTAATTCTCCCTATAAGCCGCTACACATTTCTTTCAGAATCCGTAACGAGAATTTGGTGTTAAATCAATGTAATAAGTTCTATACCTGATAAGTTTGAGTGATCTCAAAACCTGTTCGGTGGATAATGTATGGATATTATAGGGAGAAGTTACATGTTAATCACCTGTGGGAGTTAAAGGGTCGAAACTATCCAAAACTTCTTGCGCATAGGGTCAGGAGTTGAACAGGTGGAGTGGCAAAAACCCTAACAAGAAGTTCGATCTAATTCCAAGTCACCATTTGTAGGGAGGTTAGAAGGAAATAGCTGAACAAACCACGCAGAGAAGGAGGAGTATACCACTGCTTTTCTGTTACTAAAGTAAAAAAAAAAGTAAAGCCTTTATACAGGCCCAAGTGGCCCGTGGGGCCGGCGCTTCACTCCGGCTTCCTTAGCAGGAAGCGGCTAGGAGTATTGCCACTCCCCCATGGATGGGAGGCTAATCCATCGCAGGGTTACCCCATTATACTTGATGGTACCCATTTGTACATCTGGGTGTAGAGAAGCAATGTTAGAGTAAAGTGTCTTGCCTAAGAACATAACACAATGACCCCGGCCAGGGCTCGAACCCGGACCACTCGATCGGGAGTCGAGCGCACTAACCACGAGGCCACCGCGCCTCCACTCTGTTTCTATTGTGTCCACAAAATTACCAAATATTAAGCTTGCTACTTTTATTCTCGCTTGTTTGTGTTTCTAACCATTGGAGGTTACTATCATCTGTCGCTGGAGCTATAGTTTTTAAGCACAGGTGATCAAATTCAGCAATGGTTTTGCTAAACCCGAAATAGCAGTTTTTTTGAAAGAAACTCATTGCACACAAAAAGAAAACAACAGGAAGAAATTTTGAACTCAGAGGTCAAGTTCATTGCCAAAATAATTTCACAATTATAACCTTGACACTAATTTCGGCCCAAACGTTTCGGGCAAATATTAACACGCTTGAAACAAGCCGGAAACAGACCGAAAATAGAAAGCGGGTCAACAATTTACAGAATAACAGATTTGATTTAAATTCTCAACGGCGTTACTATGATATTTAATGTGGGAAGACTTAGGATTAACGCAATTGACTTTTATGATGACTTCCGTTCAGCTGCAAGTTGCTGAAAGATCTGTCTTAGTCAGAATCAACAGATCTCTCTTCTTCAGGAATACCCTAAACGGAACGAACACAGTATACATGACTGTTTATACTCTGGTTCTAAAGCTTTCGATGATGGCATGAAAATTCTTTCTAGAACTTTTAATTAACAAAAAAAAATAAATCAACAATTTTTTATTTAAACTAAAAAAAAAACTGCCCGACAGAAATCTAGTCCTTTCTTTTTTAAATTAAGTTCATTCACTCTAAATCAATTCAAAATAAATTTCCATCGTTGACTGGAATCACTTCGGAGAAGCAAAAAAAAAATCGTATTTTTAATATTTCTTGGATATAAATAGAAGTGAAGGCATAAAAACGACCAAAGTTGGGTAACGAAAATTAGTTACCGCCTCCATCACTTCCTAGATGTTTTATGACGCATTGCTTATTTGAGGGGTCTATTTTTTATGGGTCTCAATAGAGTCATATAAATCAGTGGATAAATGAATTTTCTTTTGCTTTCAATGCATTATTTCGTTCACTTCCTGACAGCTTTGACACAAAAGTAAACCAAAATATGACTGATAAGGCTTTCTCAATCTGACTTATGACGACCGGATCACTCTATTTTCGACTGAAAACTCTGATGATATACCACGCAAAAAACTTAGCCTTGCCAAAAATAGGAGGTTTAATAGCATATGTCGGAGAGGGTAACTTTTTTTATTTTTCACAGCTTGATTAGGATTAAAAAAATTAAAAATAAAGAACAAAGTTGTCGCTTTCAAGCTTTCTGTTACACTACGATGAAGTTTTGTCATACAATTCTATGCTCTAAGTATTTTTTGAATAACCTTCTAAAAGTTCTCGCTGAGTAGGAAAGGTATTTCTCGAAAATTCGCACTGTGTGCGTGCCTAGCTGTCTCATGCGCGTCGAAGTCTTTAGTTTTTTCACGAATTTTCAGCGTCTATCTTTTGATTCCGCTTAAAATGCCGTGCATGACATGTTTTACATACGTTTATCAGTTTGATACAAATACAATTCAGCTGTGGCAAATATCTCATCGATATCAGAACATCCATATTTTTAGAATCCAGTCATTCAAATTATGACAAACACGTTTTGCGAAACAACGAGAAAGTCATTGTTTCACACGAAAATGACTTGATCACGCTATCAAAAATATATTCAGTCCTAGCGTAGAACATTTTCAAAGAAGGCTGCATTAAAGCTTAAAGGCTAGACGGAGGTGTTTCTTTGCACAAAATTTCCAAATATCTTGAGGTAACCTTATAGTTAAAATTGAATTAATCAATTGCTATGGCAACGTGCCAACATATTTACATGTGTTTCCCGTATGCGTAAAACCCTAATGCTGTCGTTCCATTATAGTACTCACGACACGCAGAAATAAAGCAGATCATGTCATGACAATACGTCGTTCGTAAGAATCTGTTGAATAACCTTCGAGCCCAAAAGCTCAGACAGAGGAGAGATTGATCAATTTAACGCTGTTGATTCGAAATGTTTCCCATGGACGACGAGTCAGCGATGAAAGAGCGCAGCGAGGAGGATGTTGATTATTTATTCCTTGCAAGCGTCGATTCTTCTTCTTCGTCAGAAGATGAGAGTGAAAGCGGTGATATCCTCAATGTGAGCTGTCACAGTAATCACTTTAAAAGGATGAAGGCCGAACCGGATCAATGCGATGTGTTCGCCATAAAACGAAGAAAATTTCACACACAGCTAGACCTCCTCGATTCAGATCTGATGTTGATGACTGTTGGCGTGAGCAAACCAAGCAACGCTGTCGAAGAATCGTCACCTCGTCCAGTTCGACGTCCAAGGAAAGTGCCGCGGAGTAAGCGAATGTCGAAAAAGACTGATGTTGTCTCAACTTCAGTCAATGGATAGGAAAATCCATGCCTGACAATTTCAAATGGCTACGGTTGACTGCTAAAGATCGAGAACGATTGAGCAGAACTGTGTACACAAATTTTAACTTGGCAGGAAGGGAATTGGATCTTCCTCGACGGCTTGGCAAGTTTAGCTAACAAGCCTGTTACAAGAAATTTAATTTTTCTAAGGAAGGCATTTCCTAATAATTAATCATTGCAGAAGAATTTAAATTTTACTCGTTTAAAGACAAACAGAAAATTAAGGAATAACCACGAACCTTCATAACCACGTATTGGAGAAGAGAATAAACACTACGTGAAATTAAGAGACTACTCTTGGAGAATATTATGGAAAAATGTATATAGCGATAGTACAGAACAAAAATATATATTATTTATTCAAATATTTATTTCTAAAAACCGCGATAATCGGCAAACATGATGTAAATGTTAAAATAGAAAATAATGAGTCAATAAATTGTGAGCTGTTCTGAGATTTTCTCAAGTGTTTGCTAATTATAACTGACGCTCGTAATCTTGTAGTAGATTGACTTAAATGTGAAATAACTCCTGAAAAGTCTAGCATTTTCCACTAGAAAGATTTAATCCGATTTGTAGACGGCAACTGACGACTAACAGCTACCCAACCGAATTTATTTTTTTGTTTTGGTTACACTTAAGTAGTGAATTCACGTTGCTGCCAAAAACATTTCTGTTCCTACCGATTTGCTATCAGATGCGCCAATACTAAAGCTTTCTTTCCATCGAAATATCGTTTCAAAAATAAATTAGGCAGAAAATTTATTCATTGTTTTGTCATGTAACCACGAGTGCGAAAGGGTTGTTTACCTGTTTACGGTCTGTTTGGCACGTTGCTAAGGAAAATACTTGAGTATGCATAGTGAGTGTTATTGAAAGGAAAATCACAAGATCGAGATAGAAAAAACAGAACATAGAGCAAGGGAGCGAACGCTGATATCGTTGAAGATCAACCATTCCGATTTATGCTCAGTTTTCTCTTTTTTCCGTGTGGAAAAATAACTTTCACTATTTTTTGATACCCAGTCATTGGCGAGAACAACTAGACTCCGTCGATAAGATGTCCAAATTCGTATCACCTTCCTAGGGTATCACAAATCACATAGAGACTGATTGTGCTCGTAAACTATGTTTGCTTACGCAGCGCTCAACATGTTATGTGGTTACTATATTGTTGTTATGGTTTTGATCACGTCTGTATGTACCAAATCTTAAGGACAGGTGGTGACTTATGTTATGAAATGGAATACGAACGTCAGCGTCACTTAGTGATTCGAAGCTAACAGAAGCAACTGACTGACTAAGACAGAAAATCAAAATGAAGTCATTTTTCTCCAAAATTTGTAACTGAAATGTGGGATTTCATCTGTTCACATGGATGCTAATTCAGTCAGAAACAGAGAACTGGAAGCCACAGTTCAATATTTTTCCAGAAAGTTTGTTTTCTCAGAACTCAAATGTTGACTGAGCACGGAAGTGTAGCTAGGAGTGGGTAGTTCGACCACAAAAGGAACCGGAAGTGAATGTAATGACCATAAATGAACATACCGGCACTACTAAGTCAGAAACAGAGAACTGAAAACCAAAGAACAATATCTTTCCAGAAATTTTGTTTCTGAGAATTTATTTTTGATTTAGACTGTACAAGAAAGTGTAGCTAAGAGTAAAGGGTTTGACCACAAAAGGAAGCGGAAGTCGATAGAGGAACCAAAAATGCATGTACCGCCAGCATATCAGTATATTTTAAAACGTATTTTCGCTAAGTATTGCTATATCGTGAACAAATTGAATATCTCAATTCAAAATCCATCAAACATTTCCCCTCGTGCGCAATTAGAGGTAGGGCGCTCTATCACTTGGCCAAGTATGCTAATTATAATTTTCAATTTGCAGACCTTACCTATTATGAGAGAGAAGCCTTCACTTCAAGATGGGACAGTGTAAGAGAGTTTTGCTGTTGTCACATGAAAGAAATAATCACCCCACGTTCTCAACAAATCAGAAGTGAGGCCAGTTGCGACCTGGTTATCCGCTTTTCCCGCGCTTTTTGCCAGTTACGTCCTTCTACCTTAAGTTCTTATTGGTTATTATTTCCCTTTCTTCTGATTGGTCGTCATGATATTGTTGGTTACTACTCTCAATTTAAATCCCTTTGCCATGCTGAAATAGGAAGAAGTTGAATCATAGAAATTAAATGGAAATGTGAATATAAATTTAGCAGTGGACAGTCCACGAGGTAGCTCTTTCTATCCACTATTTCCAGGTCGAATTGGAATTTGAAATGTTAGTTTCTGTGGAAAGAGGAAGACCGGAGGATCAGGAGGAAAATCCTCGGAGCAAGGACGAGAACCAGCAATAAACTCAACCCACATGTGACACCAGGTCCGGGATTTGGGTCTCAGAATCGGGCCACAGTAGTGCGAGGCCAGTGCCCTCACCTCTGCTCACTGTGGACCGCCCCGCTCCGCTTATCAGCCTCCAATACCACTGGAACTACCTTGAGTCAGACCCCCACCTCTTCCCAACCTCTCTAGCTAAGTGCTAATATTTCTCAAGCTTTCCCTTGTCTTCACTATTATCGTTATTATCCCCATCGTCATTACTATCTTCATTCCTACCGTGGAGAATTGATTTGACTAAGCCTTAACGTTCACTCCTATAAACCAACTCTTAAAAAAAATGTAATATTATCCCAACTCTCTTGGCTACTTCTTTCCAGACCAAATGAATGTAGAGCGATGAGAAGAACCCTTACACAGTAACTGTATTCACAAGAGATCCCTTTTCAGTGCACTCTCGGGGAACAAAAAAGTGTTTTTTTTTTCTAGAGTGCCTCGTCAATAATAACAGCAATAAGCTTGCAGTTGATCTTCTGGGCTCAGTTGTTCAAAGGACGGATAACGCTACCCAACGGATAAATCGCTATCCAGCGGTTAAGTGTGTTAACAAAACGCACTGCACTATCCACTGGATAGAGATTTATCCGCAACTTTGAACAATTGTGCTAGGTAATCCAAATACAAACGAACGACTTTTGCAGAGAACAATTGACCAACAATCTAGAATTTCTCAGGTTTGATATCGAATCAAAGATACCAGTGGTTTTGATGTGGCTACGGGTTGTCCAACTAGCAGAGGAATTTTTTTCAATGATTCCTATAACAATGAAGTATAATCTATTCTTGCTAAAACAATTGTACCTGTAGTGTTTAAATTTTTCCTTTATTTGATGAGTAAATGGGCCACGTGGAATTCTTAATAGACGCACTTAACTCTTTAATAGAAAAAAACCGTGAAAATCAGTGGATTGTTTTTGGTCTCTTTCTGTGGTTCCATTTTTGGAAAACCGTTAACGAATTAAAAAGTCATATGATATAATATGCTAAGAGATACAATTGCAAATTTTCAACATTTAGTATCGTGAAGAAGTTAATTGACTTTTGCGAGATTTTTTTCATGCTTTCGTATTTACAAGACAGTGTAAATTTCAAAGAGGCAATTCAACTAATTTTAAGAACAATTGTCAGCTGTGTCTATGGATTGAAGCCTACCTTGAAAGGCCTTTGTAAACGAAATACTCGGTTGGAGGCTTTTTAAACCGTGAGTTTTTTGAGAATTTGTCGGCCTCTGACTTGTTAAGCAAAACGAATCAAACTGAACATCGCAAACTCATTTCTAGGAGTACCAACACAGTAGACTATCATCTATACTTACCCGCGAAAAGCTCCGAATGCAAAATTTTATTTCTCATTGGTTTGGCAAGGGGTTCGAATTTCCTCGGATTTCCGTTGGTCTTGTTGGTTTTAAAAGAATGCTTTAGTTTTTATTGCATGTCAAAAACGCGTTTACCACAGGCAATAATTCAAAATTGACATTTTAACAATGAAAGTTTCCCTTTTGATGCCTCAGCCGATAATACCAAAACAATTACATTATGAAAAAAAATCGTTGTTGTAGAAATAATGAAAGTGGAGTATTTAAGTTGTCAATTGATAAAAATAGCGTCACAAACCCATCAACTACAGCCAATAATGCCGAGATCTAGAAAGTGCTCTAAATTCAATTTTATAGATAAAAAATCTTGAAAGCAACTGGGTACGTCGAAGAAAAAGATATCTAGATGTAGTTAGCTCTGATAAGGTCTTTTTTGTCCTCGAAAAAATGGCTTAAAACTTAAGAAAGAGCACAAAACAATAGACGCTGATTTCAACGCGCTACAAACCCACTTCCTTTGTATTTTACTAAGCAACCACACCTTAAGGACTTGATATGTATATAAGTGTCTACATCGTACAAAAGACTGAGCTAATTCTCCGAAGTGAGATGCGATTATAATGGAGTGTTTTGTCAAGTCTTGTTTTGCCTCAACAGACCTTTGTCCTGACGGGATAAAAAAAACCCTGTGGAACTGCATAAAAATTTAATTTCTTTCCATCATTGTTCGTATGAAAAGATTTTTTCTTTTGAAAATTTCGTTCTAAACGCAGTCGGTAGGGGTTCTTTTTCATAAAGAATTTGTAAAACAGTCTTGAGAACCAAGGCAAGTCTATACAAACCTAAGTTTTTTCCACATCTTTGCCCACCTTAATAAAACACTGTTATGTCTTTGCCATTTGTCTGTAGGAAGGGATTACCTAAGTCCAAGTTACTATTGGAGACAATTAAAATGTGTTAACTTGTGTTTTTCAATTCTTTTCTCTTTTTAACAAGCTCGGAAAAGCCTAAAGTATTTGTCAATAATCAACGTTGCCTTCAACTAAAAATACACCACTACTTCAAAATATCGAGGCAGGTTTATGTAAAATATTGATTTCCAAAAAATTGAACTAATTGTTTTCCTTAAAGCTGAATGTCACTGGAACCATTCGAATTGTGCGCTTTGAGAGCTGTGCGTGTTAGACTGTTGTATAAGGAGAGTCCATTCAGTTACCAGTACAATCCTGACCAATGTTTTTGGAAAATTAACAAGATAAAAAGATCCGAACGTTTGTTGATGCCAGTGTAATTTGATAGTCTTAGAGCGCTCTTCGACTGAGTTTCATTCAACCAAAACCAACTTCATTACAACGGACAGTAAAAACAGAGGAAATTATCGCCAGGAGTGAAGTAACGTTAACTCCAAGTCAAAATGTCTGCAGCGAGGGAAAACACGAGTTACCAAGTCGTGATTAGTTTTAGTTTTGTATTTGATTGGTCGAGAGGGTGGAGAGGGTTTTCTGAACCGATAAAAGAGGGTAGTAAAGTAAAACCAGAGCAATCACGGATGTACACCCGACACTCAATTAAAAGTGCCCCGTCCGTGTTATGCTTGCAACATAGTGGCCATTTTCCGTCAGTTCATACATCTAAAAGGAACTCAGACCCCGTTAATGATTAACTTAACGCGAAGCCATTCCAGTGTTCCTCTCTATTTTGGATTTCTTTTCGTCCGTGAAGTTTATGAATAAGTCCCCTTACAAGAGAAAAAAAAATCGACATAGAGCTTTTTTACGTCAGTTCCGATGTTACTTATCACCTGAGGGGGAGGGGGTGGGGTTGGAAGATTTTGGTTGTGTCTGCAGTCCCCCCTTTAAACTATATTGGCAACGACTGATTTCCCCCTCTGTTCCCCCGATAATCAAATGATACCCTCCAAAATCCTCTGCCTCTTGCCTCCCTAAGGAGGCAATAATAATAATAATAATAATAATAATGACAATCTTTAATGAGGAAACTTTTTCACTAAAAAGTGGTTTACAAAAAGGACCTCGAAAATTAAAAATTAAAAATTTACAATGAATAAAAATGCTAAAAGATGCTACTAAAAACTAATGTATTTTATGTGTAATACAAAACTTAAATCAATGAATTAAAAATCTGACGCTTCAAAATATTTACATTATCAGAGGCTCGTATAGTTTTGTCCAGCGAGTTAAAATCACTTACAGCATGATAGCCAGTTCTTTGTTTGCCCCAGTTTCTTTTAACGGATGGAATTTTGAGGTTTGCTTTATTTCTTGTGTTGTAACTATGCTGTTCTTGCTGAGTGACTAATGTTAGTTCGTGATGCGTGAGACCATTAAGACATTTATATACATGTACGCATCGGCGCTGGAAGCGCCTTTTTTCTAGTGTTAACCACTTCAGTGTAGTTAACGCATCAGACGCAGAGGAATACAGTGGTCGATCTAATATTATTTTAGCCGCCTTATTTTGAAGCACTTGCAAACTAGACATTAAAGTTACATTATGTTTGTCTCCCCAAACTAAATCAGCATACTCGAATAAGGGCATAACAAGGCTTTTATAAAAAAGGATGCGCGCCTTAAACGGTAACAAATGCTTAATGCGTCTAAGTAGGCCAAGCCTTTGATTAACTTTCCCTGCCATGTATTCGACATGATTTGTCCACGAAAAATCAGACGATATTAAGATTCCAAGATATTTAAAACAAGTAACATTGTTTATACAATGATCAAAGATTGAAACAGTTAGAGCTATTTTCCTCTGTAACTTCTTGTTACTGCCTATAAGCATGCATTTGGTTTTGTCCAGATTCAGTGTTAACTTATGTTCATTCAGCCATTTCGCCACAGCCAGGAGGTCTTGGTTGAGCTTTTCAGTCAGCTCCTGAGAGGAAGACCCATAGCAGTAGATACTAATGGCCGGTCGCGTAACACATTTGGTCTGACTTGAGACACTACTCAGAAACAAATAGATCGAGGAAAGCGTAAATGAGTCATAAATTCTTAAAAGTCAAACCATTTTTGCTAATAACAAAGCGCAGAGGGGGCTTTTCTCTGGAGAGAGCGAAATAAATTCGATTGAGTAACAATTCCTGAAGAACTCCAATCTCAGGTAGGATGCCTAAGACCACTGGTAGCAGCGTTACCTCCACAAATTATCATAAGTTTCACATTTGACACTACATCATTAAAACTGACCAATCATCAGGCTAAATTCAATGTTTGTCAGTGTCTGGTTGATGATCATTTTTCCCGCTTCTTTTCCGTAACAGAGTATTCTCACGTATGAAGAGCTTGCTGTGAAAATTAAAAATCGATGTCTGACCCTGCTGGGCGTTGGAGCAGTTCGTAGGCACCGTAAAAAGGGTTTTGCAATCATCTCCGAATCCGCACAAGAATTCCGGTTTCTGTTGGCGCACCGATATCGTGGTACAAGCCGTCGTATCAGAGGTGACAATGTCTTGTCAATCTGGATTAAAATCATGAACATTTACATGTGTGTATAAATACTTTGTGTCAAGACTTTCTAAAAGTTTTTTCTCATAATATTTCTTTGCCGATGCCGGTCCTGTATTCACCAAGAGTTCCACTATTCAAGTCAACAGATCGAGCTTATAAGTACAGAAAACTTTAACTTTTAAATGGGCTTCCCTCTTCCATTACAAAAGAACGGAATCTCCTGCAAACGTGATCGACATATTACGAAACAAATTTAAGAGCCATTTGGAGACGCACCCTCAAAAGGTTTGGGCGAATAGGAAAAATTGAACGATTTTCTTCCGTCAAAGGTATTATACCGGAAAATCCATAGAAAAAAAACCTCGAACCAAGCGTAAGAACTGACAACAAACTCAATCGGCACATGCGACACTCAAACGGGCTTGGCATTTGAAGCCGGGCCACTCCTATAATAGGAGACCGCTTTCTATTTCACCACTGCCCAGTTGTCTCTCTTTCCTATTTCCCTTAGGAACCATTATTTGTCGCCTGCGGGGAAGGGGTGAAGATTTTTGGGGATCCCATGGTTTTCAGGGGGAACAGGTGGGGGATCAGTCGCCGGCAATAGAGTGTAAAGGGGGGGGGGGCTATAGAAAATTGACAGCCAATGAGTGGGGGGATAGTAAAAATATTACAGAGCTTAATGGGGAGGACCAGTTAATTCTATAGGGACATAACCAAAATCCCGATCCTCACTCTTCCCCCCCCCCCCTGCGATAGATTATAATCAGTCCCTTTGGGCCACACCTACAAGAGACGACCGCTCTGTATCTCACTAGTTCTCTGTTTCGCCCTTTCTGATCCCCCTTCTTTCCCATCATTTCATCTGAAAGCAAATACTAAAATGAGGATCTCTATGTTGAAGACATGTATCTGCCTGTTTTGTTCCTGCTATGGTACATTTGTAACACTGCGAGCCGCAAAGACCCGCCAGAGGAAGGTCGGACACCGCAGACGTCGTTATCAGAGAACCACAAAGCAATTTTTCTCTGTTGGCAATAGTTTTGAACCTCACCCCAGTAAATATTTACTCCTACATGACGCCGGCACAGTTTATTATTCTACGATAAGGTAATCTTTTATTTTCATCAAGATACAGTTCCCATATTAAATCAGCTGATATGACTCTATCTTGTAAGTAATTTTTCAGTCTAAAATCATTCGATCTGGCTCTCAGATTTGTAAATCTAAAAGAAACGATGTAAATCGCCTGCAAGGCAGTTCCTGTGAAAGCAGGTTATTAGGTTGCAATCATTTGGAATATCGCCACATGAGACAAAAAGGTCTCAGAGATAGAGGAAGTCTAAACAAACCAGGTTGACAAAATTCTAGAATCCAGCTTCAGTGCATAAATTGTTTTACGTTTCAATTGCGGTTTGGACATGTGATGCTTGCGCGCTTAAACGCGCTTTAACGCCGCCTTTAAGCGTCAAGCTTCTTTGATCATCTTTTCTTCTCTTACACGTCCATCCTTCATGCGCGAAAAGTAATTTAGTTGATGCAGTCAAATTTGCCTTACTCCGGGCTACCGAAAAAGCCGCCATGGTGTCGGTGACGTAAATCACGAAACTGTCAAGCTATTTTCGGAACAGACAGGAAGTTTATTTGCCTTTTATTTTCTTTCCACAATCAACCTAACACCTCCTTTAGACTTCCCTTTAATGTCCTTCCCGTCTCAGAGTCTCCTTGAATGTCAAGACTTCTGTATAGTTAATAAACTGGGCTATTGTGATCGTTTCGCTTTACGTCAGACCACCTACTACCAGCGGGCTCTTTCCAACACATCCCACGCGAACAATATCTGGCACAGAATCAAACTCCTAACAATTGTTTCTTCGCTAGTCGTTTGGCGCTTATCTCTCCAACGCCAATTAACGACACCTGTGTTTAGACTAACGATTTTCATTTTCATGCGTGCGTATCGTGTATCAGTCCATCAACAAACAATTTTCCGTCTTTGAAATCTTTACTCTCATTCACGCCAGATCGGAGAGAACATTCGGATCCGTTACAAAGATATGGTATAACTGAATACGAAAATTAAATCAGAGCGAACGATTCGAAGAATCTCTTGTGATTTACTTGCTTGAAGTGGTCATAATTACGAGATTTTGCAGAGCTAACGATGTTTAATGTTTTGGCATGAACCGTAAAATTTCAAATTTATGTCCTTAAAGTTGTATATCGTCATCTTGGTTACGAGTGGTGCGAGGAACGGGTCTCTTTGGAAACGTTTGATAAACCCGTTTAGTTTAAAGGTACAATGAAACGTTTGCTTAACTTATAGAACAATTGTTATTAGATACCCTTTTTTGCCAACCGCCGGTGTATCTCTTAGTACAAAACTGAGTTATCTTATTCCAAAGGCTTTTCATTCGTCTCTTAATCCTCCAACTCTCAAAATTTGATTTTTAGTTCTCCCTTCTGGCTTCCGTGCATTTTCTTCTAAATTTGTCGGTTTAAAGAATTTGATGTCTTGGTCACGTTTCATTTTTCTTCATGGAGAGTGTATTGATAAAGTAAGTAGAAGTGTCAACGAACCATTTGTAGTCGACTCGCCAAATTATCGACAGCTTAGCCACAAGAGTTTAGTTTAGGCTACGATAGAAGAACACAAAAGAGTGTACTAAGAAGCGAAAGGAATAGTAAGGTGCCCGAAAATTTAAACATATTGCAAATAATGAATTTGAAAATGATTTGTTTTGAAGTAATTAATTGTTGCATGATGTAAATCGCCAGGTGTAAGGGGCGCACTCAAAAGGTCACTCTCAGACTTCAGACTTCCAAAGCTAAACTTCCTGTCATCAAGTCGCATCTATTGAATTTGAACTGATCTAAAAAGAGTAATTCTCAGTAGTGTTTAGCTATTCAGTAAGTGGCAGTGAGTTAATTTTAGATCAATCATGGTGGTTTTATCGGAAACATGGTACGTGACGATTAATTAAATTGAAGCAGTATTGAATGCTTCCGTGCTGCTATCTTTGATGCTTAAGAATTCCCAAGAAAAAGAGATACGTGAATAGAATTTTTTAATTGCTTTTTCGTTTTGTTTTTTTTCGATTGCTTGTGCAATATTGGCACAGTTCTGAATTCATGTACTAAGAAATTTATTTTCAAATCCTGTCAGTTTTTTTTAATTCTTTCTTGCTGTGAAATTTCAATTTGCCCGCAACTATGCTGAAAAGGCGCGAGTCACTTTCCTCAGGCTATTAAGTAAATTACTGGTGTACCGACCACAAAACAAGAAGGAAATGCACACTTCACCATTATCAAACTGTCATGATTTTTTTTTTATATATCGTTTGCGTGTTGTTCGGAGAGGTTGAAAAATAGTTATGTTGGTAGGGTGCCCTTCCGCACGTCAACAAACGTGACTTTGTAAAACGTTGAGATTAATTTTTTTGTACTTGGCTTAGTTTCTTCATTGTTCAATACGTCATGTCCTCTGTTTTATCGTTACGTGAAGGATTACCGATAGCTAGACGCGGAAAAAGTTCAACATTACGCGAAATTGCGCAAAAAAGACGCCTTAAATTACCGTCTAGTAAAAACTGAAGCACTTTACATATGCGCGCCTACGCCGTTTTGGCTCCGAAAGTGCGCACGGAGTCACCAGCATGACTTCAAAAACAAATCTCTTTTCAGAAACGATTAAAGAGAGAAATTCAAATTGTCTAAAATGACAAATGAGACACCAGTAAATCAATCTGAACTATATACAAATTAAGAAAAGACACATAGAGATAGCATAACAAAGCAAATTAACTTTCCCGCCGTTTTAAGGCAATCAAAGATTTTCACACTATGATGGCGTTATCAGTTTGAAAATAAAAGGCGCACTCAAGTTTCCAGAGTTATACATCATGCGATTTCGATTTTGCGCTAAAAAGCCTTGACATGAAAAAAATATGACAGAGGACAAGTGAGTCTTGCTGATTGACACAAATGTAATAAAACTGAAAGAGAAGCTAGCTCTAACAAAAAAATGATGAATTACAAAAAAGCAAAACTCTCTTGAGATTGACCGTCAACGACAACAAGAAAACTTTACTACAACAACTTTGCTTCAAGAAATAGGTTCTCCCGCTTTCGTTGTGGTTTTTGATTGCTTGGCAAAGCGAAAGAAATGTCAGTCACTAAAAGCATTTCAGGCCACAGGCAATTAGAGCTGAAACACAAAAGAGGAAACGTAAGATTTGTTTAACAAAAGGGTATAACATATTGCGTGCCAACCAAGATGTAACCGTTGCCACTAGTCAGACATTAATTACTTCGCTAAAAGCCTCGAGTTTTAGCTTGCGTTTGCCGATTTGATTAATTGCAACTCACGCCATTGGTTTTGATAATCTATGGGGGAAGCAAAAGGGCGAAATCACGAAAACTCGACAGCACGATAAATAAACGCTATCAGAACACGCAACGACTAATTTGCCGGCAAAATTTAGTTTCGTTAGTGATCCTAATAAGCGTGTTGATAAGTCGATCCTCTTGTCATTTCTACATAGCGCGCATTAAGTCAATTGCTTTCACATGGTGACGCGCTCATTTAAAGCACTCAGCGCAAACCTTTCTGCACAATATCGTAACTAAATTAAATTGAAAAACCAGTCTACGGAAATATCGATCCATTTTATCCAAAACACCCCGCCGTCTCGCCGCATAATTATACCCCTTCTAGTCATAATTAAGACTGAGAACACGTGTGCGAATAAAGAGGATTGTCAACAAGAGAATAACGTAACACAAAGTAAATCAAAGTCTTCAGATGAACACAATATTTTATTCTCTCGAGACAGAAAACTGGTGTAAATTTGCTAGATTTTACGTCGGAAAGCTGTTAATAGTCGATTTGAAGATTCGGAGCTAGACACATCTGGCTTAAAATAAGAGATAAAACGCATTCAGCCGCGCTGTGACAAAAGCTTTTCATTGGTTTTACCCGCCTGGCGCTTCAAAACAAAAATAATGAAGAATAATGAAGAAAAATCGTTTAGGTCGAAACTAATGGCAACAAAGTGTTGGTAGGGCGCGTAATATATCACAGAGAAAATCACTCTCCATAAAGGAATCTTGGAAGAAAAGAGATCTACTTATTCGCACGTTGTGAAAGAATTTTGCCAAAAACTTGCAGCGCAGCGCGCGCGATTTGGGCGCGCACTTTCTTGTCTGGCATTTATTCTATAAGCTTGCTTCAGCTGAGTTTTAAGTTTGTTTTGATAGTGCTTCACAAAAGTCAAAGAATGAAGGCTTGCGGGCAGTTTATTATGACATTTAAATTAAAACAGTGACGCCAAATCAGCGTTAGTTTACTGGATTAATTACAATCGAGTTTATGCAAAGACAGCCTAATTTTTGGGCGCGGTTTTTTGTCAAAGACTCGAGCCAACAGACTTGAAGTTCCACGATCCCACGATATCATTGTAATAAAATGATCATTTTTGTGTAGAAGACTTGTGATGCATATGTAAAAGCCTTCTTTATACAAAATTGTGTTTTTTTTTCGCTTTCATCTTGTCATCCGAGATGGAAAGGAAACTGAAAACCACAGAAATAATGCGTAACGCACTTAAACTTCTCTCATCAAATCAGTTGTCGCTTGGCATCTTCTAAACTGCTTGTGCAGTTTTATTTGGTATTTCCATTTCCTTTGATAACCAAAATTCGCATTCTGTTCTTAAAGAAAACATCACGTAGGGTCAAAGTTCTTCAGAGTTTAAGCCGGGGTGGGGACATTTGGGAATTTCGAAACGACGAATTCAAAAAGTCGCCTTCTACATTTGGAATATATCAGGCTATGGACTGCTGGGAAACAGCAGCTGTTCGACTGGTCTGCCAAATAAATCAAATGAATATTTGAAGATTTGCAAACGGCTGCTATGACACTAAAACTTCTACTCCGCGATTAACTAATATTTAATAGATACGATAGCCACCGGTTTCGATTCCAGTGAATTTCGTATTTGGACCATAAATCAGCAAAATATTTTGATTTGTTTATAAACTCGACTTAGAAGTGAAATTGTTTTCTCACATGAAACCAAAATAGCAATATCAGACAGCGCAATTTCCTCAAATTGAATTAAGCGCGCGTGGATATTAGCAACCCTCACCTCGCTAAACCCGACTGGACTAGTTAAGCAACGAGGTAACTCGAACAGTAATGTCGAGGCCACTTCCAACTTCCCGTATAATCTATGTTTCAGAAAATTAAAATACCTTCAAAACCAAAATAATCGTATAAAGCTTTTCTGCGCTTGTGTCTGATCAAATTAAATTGCTTCGCACTGATTGCCAAAACTGACGCTTTCAATATCACCCAGACAGCATTTATCTCGATTTGCGCCGTCTCTCCTGCAAATTAAAAGTTTATTTCGCCCCATTACTCGCTTCTGGCTTAAAGAATTCCCAAAAGAAGTCTACACATTTCCAAGCCTATTTATTTTTCAAGGCATAAACGTTTTCATTACAAAAATTGTTTCATGTACAGATTACATGCTAGTTAAGCTGAATAACCTGAAACCTCCGTGAGACATGAAACTAACCACCACTGACTTCGACAAAAAATATCTTCATACATTTTTCGCTGTTCACAGCAATAGTTTGTCGTAATTCCTTTGTACAAATATGGAGAAACTCTTTTAGAACTTCTCAAAACTGAATTTACGTGGCATTTGATTGCGAGCAAAAACGAAAGCTTTCTCACAGAAGTTTTAACATGGCTAAACTTCAGATATTGACGGAGAAACTTATGTTTATGATCCGCGCCGTTCCTGAATTTTCCATGTTAGGATATGTTGCTTGAAAAACGAACGACTGTTTGTGTTCTGTTTGTATTTTTTTTTCAGTTTATACTCGTTGCAGATTTTACTTGAAAACAAAATATCCTGAGATATCAAGTTCAGTTTCTAAGATGACTTTGCTGTAAAATCAGAGTCTCTTAAATTTACTGGAAATTTTTATGTGAAAAATTACTTTGAGTAATACGTTGACTAGCAAAAATGGAAAACAAAGTTACACAATTTAATTTAAAAATTGACTTAGAGGTGAAGTTTGAAACCGTTTTATCGATTGAAATGTTATAATGTTCGAGTTTGGATTTGCCTCTGCAAGAGTATCAAAGACTAGAGATATTTTAACCCCAGAATTCTACTCCTGCTTAATAATTTAATACCTTGGCTGTGAATGGCTATATAATATATTTATATCAATCAAGTTAATTCTGTAGTTATAAAACGCGAATTAATCTGAGTATTAACTTTTGACATCCGTTGCACGGCAAATGGCAACATTAAACTGTAGCATACAAAAATCCTATTTCATGAATGAACAAAATGCGATTTTTTTTCCTCGACTTGTAGAATAATTCTTCTTAAAAAAAAACTGTGGCCTAAAGTTTACAGTTAACAGAAGTTAACCTTGAAATCCTCTACATTACACCATAACCTTGCCGTAAACAAGTAAGGCGGTCAAGGAGAATCAGTCTCCTCTGCCGCTCTAACTCTTTATCAGCAAGTAAACGTTCCTCTTCTAAGAATAACTGATGTACGTATTCCCGCGCTTTTTTTAAGATTAAAACTTTAGATGCTCTATCATTATCTTCGAGCTCTGGTATGCTGTCCCTAAGAAATTGAAAACGACACTTTAAATCCTCCCTTCTCTGTCGTTCTAAGACATTATGAGTTGCTCTGCTTGTTTCGTTGTCTTCAGAGTCATCGCCCTCCATTGGCGGTGAATCTTGGCGACTTGATCTTCGAGATTTGCGCGGTTTCTTCGATACCGTGCAGTCGAGCCGATGAGTTACAAATTCCTCGCTTGGGGGTTGATTTAGTCTCAATGCCGGATTTTCCACTGCAACGAAAAGAAAATTACGCAAAATTAGTCAAATTACACGGCACAATAAAGTAGAGTTTACAAATTAAATCGAATTTCTATTGCTACTCTCCAAGCTAGGTTGTAAACGTTAATTTACTCCTAGGGTTTGCAAATAAGATTTTTGATACTCTCCGACTAATTAATAGTGGAATTGCAAACTTTTATTTTATCTTGAATCAAAAACGAGTCTTTTCAACTGCTTGAAACCATTGTTCAGAGCGTTTCTGTTTTCGAAATAAAAAAGATTTAATTAGCACAGGGCCAGTCATAAGCCGGCTTGTCATAAGGCAGATTGTGTATTCTGTTTGACAAAAAGAAAATATCAGATGTTCAAAGACACTAATTTTGATTCAAGCCTTTGTAAAGTTATTTTTCGAACGTCAAATCACTTGAAAGCGTCCCAGGATCGCGAAAGTAATTTTGACAATTGAATCAAAGTTTACTAAAAAAAAGCGCCAAAGTGTGAACTAAAAATCTAAAAACAACTTATAAACAAAACCAGGTAGTTATAAAACTTTCGTCTTTAAAACCACAAAGCGTGCATTTTAAACACTCAATTAATAGCGAAGTCCTGTGATCAACATTCATCACTTGCTCAGATTGTTTACGATGTACAGCCAACTCTGTTTCTAGTTACCAGACTTGAGGGCCGGAAAATGGCTTAAAGAACAGAGAAAATGCGTCGCACGCTCCCCTTTTTCTTCATTCACAAGCGACAAAAGCAAAGTAAATGATCTCATTATTCCCGATTGTGAAACTAAACGAAACTAAGTTTAAAGCGCTGTAAAGTCAATGAAAGGTCTTTCGCGAGGTGCAACTTGTTATACATTTCGAAAGTGAAATTACACGTCTCGATCGCAAAGGGCTACAAGACATACTTTAACTCACACATCGCAAAGTTAATTCTTGGTATCTACGCGAAATAAGCGTGATATTTACCAGAGAACTGCGAGTGCCATCTCTCAACCTGCGGTAGACCAAGCGCGGAATCTTGACTTGGAATCGCAGTGACAAATGGAGACAAATCTCGCATCATTTGATGTTCAGTCGCCATTTCAGCGCTTGGTTCGTTGACGCATGCCGCCGAATGAACTACTCGATTCCCCTGAAACCTCTGCGATTCAACTCTATCGAAGTCGTTCTCACCAGCCGGCCAAATATATTCGTCATCTATTGTGCTACAGGTCAGGCGTTCCATCTCTGCGTCGGACAAAACCAAGGGTAGGTCCGACGACAGATCTTCCGGTTCGGGAACGACTTGAAGGCCATTCCTTCTTGGTGGAATAACAAAGTTGCGCTTAGTCTGGGGTAAGTAGTTCTCTGGAGAATAGGGTGGCGTTGGAAGCGTGAATTTCTTCCACAAGTCGTCGATCGGAAAAGCCGGGCTGTAAAGGTCTTCTGCGGCGATGAGATCTTGATGAGCAGAGGAATCTATAGGTTGAGGTCCACGTAGTCTCTCGTCAAAAAACATCTCGCAACAGAGTCTGTTATTGGAAAGAAAAAAAACGTACAAGTTATTAGGATGCGCTTGGCCACCATTCAAAGTACACATTTTCTATTTTACGATTTGAAATCTGCACGCTTGCCTGTTTACTTAAACACCACGCACCTAGCGATTGAGCGAGCACCTTGAGATTTGTGAAGGGAGAAAAAATTTTCTGCTTTCAAACAGACCAGCCGCTTTTCACGTTAAAAGCTTCAAATGAATGAATGAATCAATGAATGAACTGATCACATCACAAAAGGCAAATTTGCATAAAGTCATCAAATGCTAAAGATCCAAGCGTGGGCATCACGCGTGTAAGTTTGATTTTTCCTCGTTGGCTCTCTCTCAAAATTGGTATAGTTTTCTCTTGTGCAGTGATCTGTGAATTCTGCTCCTTGGTTTGACAAACAAGACTTGTAGCCTACAGGTTTTCGAGTCACCCTCACTGAAATAAAGGCCTCGGATGAGTTACGCAAAATTGAATATTCATGTTTTCTTGGAGTTTTTCATAAGCGAACGACCCGTAGCAATGTCTATCGACCTGTTCAGTCTTTTGTTAGATGAAGAAATAATTATGTGTGGCACCATGAAAAACCAGCATCCTTTCCAAAATGAATTTTCCAAAAGCACTGCACTTTTGAAAGGCGCAACAAGTGAATTCCAGAAGATGTAGAGTTGCGCGCCTCGCCAAAACAACCCAAATATTGATGGCGCTCGCTGGGGCGACAAGGGCATAGTTACATCTAAAGGAATTTCTTAATATCTTCGATTAGGCAATAACGTTTTGGCAAATAGAAAACAGCGGGAGAAAAGCAAAAAAAATACAGGTTATCTTGACACCTTCAACAGACGTTAAAAACCCAAATATGATTATCCAGGGTTCAACCAAAGTTATATGTATGACGGTTGAAAGTTGTCAAGATCATTTTTAAAGACCATATATTAAAAAAAAAAAAAATTATTGCTTTGACTTTTGACATGGCGTAGAAAAATGCCAATTGGTAGGTATTAAGCCATTTTACGTACGTAGTCGAAATTGGTTCAGGGACGCAAATGGGACAAAATCGTATTGGTTGACGTCCGTGCTTTTCAGATCAGTGTACGAATATTCCTTTCAGAGACAAATTGCAGCTGAATTGCTGAAAGAAATCGAAGCTTCGTGCGAAATTCTCTCGCAAATTTCAGGTTAGAATCGCAGGCTTTGGAGGGTTTGGTTGCGAATACAAAGAAAGCAGTGCAGTTTTTTTTTTGTTAATTATGTAGGATAAAAAATACCGATACTCACAATGCACTAGTAGCTGCAAACATCTTGAAAATGATGATCTTCTTGCGGAGGTTTAAACTTCAAACTGGTTTACTGTTAAGATTGAAGCCGATAAATAAAGGCCTGGAGTATAAGTGCTTGTAAAAGACGCACGCGTCTCCTAAACGAGCTCTCGAGATATATTAGTGCTTTAATCAGGATGCCACTCTTCTGAGGTTGCCGGCTGGGCTACAGAGGTTACAGCGTAATCTGCTTGCATATGAATAGGCTCCACGCAAGAGGTTACAAGAACAATTGAATCTGACAAAACTACATTACGACACACCCATTTTCTAAAGAGAGTAGCGTCAATGAATATATTGTAGACCTTGCTCTTTGTGGAAATAAAAACCAGCACAATTTTGCTTTTTGGATGTAAGGCATGCGAGGCAAGGTTTTTCTAGGGAGGCAGATTTTATAAACCGGCAACTTCCCTTGCATTTTATGCTTTTTGTTGGACTTAAACCTTCTACGCTATTTACTCAACCGATAACATCGACCCCTTTAACAATCATGATGTTCCGGTGGTGTCATAGCTTAGTTGACATAATATTTGCAGTAACTCCATTAATTTTGAAGATTTGGTAATTTTTCTGGGGGTGTTAAGTACTATTCGTGTGTCAATGACGTACCGGCGCGTGCCTTACTAATTAGCCCACTAATGATCATAGAATATCAAAGTGAATTGAATCTCTGGCACGAGTTGAAAGATATAAAAAAGGGGGGGTTAATTTTTCCCGCCAAAAAGCGGTTTCGGAACAGGCATCGAGGAATAGAGTGATGTGGCACGAGAGAGTGCCATAGTTAAGCTTGCGTTTTAACAAGCATGACGCTTGGATTCCTGCGCAAACAGCGCGCATGAAAAACAATCTCTCCCAGAGCATTATCATTGAAACAATGAACAACATTTAGCTTCAAAGGTCAAGCCGAAGTATTTGTGCGCAAAATGGCTCAAAGAAAAAAAGAGCATTGACACCGCTGTGGCCGGAGTATTAATCACAACAATCGAATTAGCCATGTAAGGAGTACTGACTATGTCTAGCTCGGCCTCTAGGGACACAGGATTGAAGCCGAATTAGAAAACCCTTTGTTTGCGGTTGTTGTCGCACGGCTGGCACGCGCGAGGAGGACGCCGTCAATCAAATTAAATGAAATCCATTCAAATGCAAATTACGCGCGCGCTCTTATTGCGAAAGTCTATAGTTTGGGAGCAAATGTTTATTCGTGGGAAGCAAATTATCTACATGGTTTGTGACAGCTTGAATGGGGTATTAAACTCGTACTTTAGAAGCAGCTGGCCCGTGCTAAATGGAGCAGAACAATTTCCTTAAGCTTTTTATGAAGAGCTTATCGCACTCGAGATATTAGCACTTTCTTTCAAAATAACGTTCAGCTAGCTTTAACGCGGCGATATTTAATTTTTTAAACGTTCAATAAAGATATCAAGGCTGCCTCAATATTGACGACAGTGATGTAGTCTTTCAACTACGTTCAAATAGCCTTGAGTGGTTATTATTAAAGTTTTCAATGATATCCTGGCGAAAGTAAAAGTTTGACCCTGCAGGATTGTCGGAGCCGGTGTCAATTCGATAAATAGTATTCTATGGGAAGGACAAATAACAACAAAAAGAAATAGACCCGCGTTGAATCTTTCCCTTTTTCGACAGAGACAGTTGAGTGAATCAAAGTAAAGGAATTTAGTTTATAGTGCACTCATAACACAACCTGTGCTGTGACAGTTGTTCTGGTAAAGTGGTGCATAATTTTCATATGTATAGATGTCCGAGGTAATGACATCTGTAATAGGAACAGTCAATTACGTTTCCCGCGCAATTTGCTGGAGTTAGCTTAAAAATAGTTTTCCTAAAAATCAGTCAGTGTAAGACCTTTATTAAATAAAAAAGTGTTCCTTGACAGCTTGCAAGTTTCAATCCTCTAGAAAGGAGAAAAAGAAAACGTCTTTGTTGAGATATTTCTAATTGCGCTATATATCAATGTATCTTTCGCAAGCATTATTTATCACATTTGCAAGCTCGACAAATGGAATTGAAATCACCTAAATTGACGTTATTACAAAACCAAAGACTTTACTACAAAAACTCACAGGCTAAAAAGCCGCAGTGGAAACTAAACTAATAAACCTAGATAATATTCTAGCCATAACTTGTAATTTGTGTAATAAGCGGTGAAATTCTGCCAAAGGCAGCTGCCGTAAACAAAGGGTCTATTTTTGCCCCATTCAACCGAACACCTGCTCAGATTTGCATTACAATTCCCTGAAGCTCTTTACTTGCTCTCAAAGTAAACACTTTTCCAATATGGCCGGAAACGAACAGAGATGAGATGGCGCGAGCCCTCACTCTCTTAGCAACTTTACAATTTTGACTCATAGCGTAGCAGTGATATGTCTGACTCATTATCAGAAAATATTTTTTGTTACGAACGTTCAAACTTCCATTATTTATCTGAGCATAATTGATGCAAGCAGATCGTTTGATCGGACGCTAAATTTGATCTTGAAAAATGATTAAAGAAACCAAAACAGAAAAGAACATGAAAGAACAATTTCAAAGTTTTGATTTCTTTCAAGTTTGTACAACCATTACGATATTACTCAATTTAGTCAAGTGAAATCAAATTGCTTTTAAAGGTGTGAAATTGTGAGGAAAAAAAATCTAATAGGCTGTTTAACTCACTTTTTGGTGTTACCAGCCGAATTTTAATGAATCAAAATTTCCCAACGACGTTCCATGTTGTAATATTAATATTAACGTTTTTTTATGTCTGAAGGGGACATTATTTTAATAAAATAAATTAGTTGTTAAAACCTAACTTTGCAGATATATTGTACTCTGGATTTTACACTTTCTTTTCAAACAATAAATTTGTGCGTTATTTTTAATCTGCGACTTGCTCTTCGCGAGAAAACTTTTGAAAACACAAACCTTTTGTTGCGCTTACGCAAGAAAAATGATCTCCAAACTTTTCACAACACCTTTTGTTAAAGTTGTGTCGAAAAAGTAAACGGAGCGACTTGTAACATGTTAAAATACACATAGTCGATCCATTGAAGGGAAGTTTATTTTTCCCCACGACCTATGAATGACTTTAGAGATTATCTTTGTATGGTTTTTCGCGAAGTCACCGCGCCTAATAATTTGAGTTATGATGTAAACAGACGCTGCGGTTTGCCCAATCTTTTGGATGAGATTATTTTGTATTTCCCAACAAGTTTAATTCATTGCAACACAAGACAGGTAATAGGCTAATGGATTTGTAATTTATGCAGTTTAGTCTAAGCCTGGCTAAAGTCAACATGAAAATGCAAATGCGGTGGTCATTCATTCGAGGAGTGTCACTCCGTTTGAATGGAATAGTAGTTTCAGCCAAACAAAGAACACGCTGTTTCGATGTTTCCTCGACAAAAACGCCATCGTTTTACGCCGATGTTTAGCGAAACATTCAATAAACAGAGTATAGTTAAGACTTTATTTTTATTTTTGATTTGAAAAGTACTTTCTATCTCAAATCGTGTTTTCTAAATCTACATCAGACTGATCGAAATTTTTCGTGAAATTCTAATGCCTTTGTCAAGCGTGCACAAAGCCGGTTTCAAAGCTGTTCGCAATGAAACAGCACAATTATAACCCTATTTACAATCAGTTTCTATCTTCAAGACTAACTCGAACTGAGTTCTACACGGTTGAGTTTGGCCACTACAGCTTTGCTAAAGTGTGTCCTCAATTCTCTCTGAAAAATATCGCGTCACTAATATTGCACAGCAAAATTGGTCATTCATCATAATTTACGCTTCGACGACTCAAGCGCAAGTGGGAATAGGAAAACCAAATGAACATTTTCAAAAAAATCGTCACCACAAGTCAGGTACTTAAAAAAAAAAATCTGTATGAAGTCGATAAAATGGCTTAAAAACATTACGTCCCGCTATTAAAAGTCTCTAGTTCGCTTGATTCAAAGCCAGTAGCTTTTTCAACAACATAGCGTTAACTTTCTTTTGTTTTTCCAGCTCGGTCAGGAGTTTACTTTCTTCTTGTTTGATGTGACTTATATACTCCCAAGACTTCCGCAAAATGGAGACTTTGGGTGCGCGGTCATTGTCCTTCAATTCCGGAACGCAGTCTCGTAATTTTTGAAACTTCATTTTTAAATCGTTCCTTCTCTTTCGCTCCAATACGTTATGTGTCGCTCGTGTGAATTCACTGTCGTTCTCAGACTCATCGCTTTCTCCAGAGCTGCTGATATTCTTAACAAGTTTCTTTCCCTCGCGGTAATTCAATCCGTCGCTGGATAACACTTTTCTATGCCGACGTGTTCTTATCTTGCCCACATATTCAGTTTTCTCGTCTTCCTCTGGGTCTTCCGTTCGCAATTCTGAACTTGATACTTCAGAGCAGCTTTCACTTGGGACCGGTTCTTCGATTCTAGTGCAAATTTCCACACTTTCAGTTTCAATAACTTCATCGGCTTCCTGCTCTCGTTTGCTTGAATTTTCTATAGTAACCACATCAATTTCGACTTCCTCTTCTTCTGTAAAGTTTGCAAAAACAAACATGAATGTTAGAAAATAATTTAACGCTATTTTCGGGACATAAGAAAACATTTACAAGAAGTATATAAGAAAAGTTGCGACCTTGAAACGTGGGGGCACACATAAAAAAATTGTGGCAATGAACAGGAAAAACGGGTCAGTGACAACTACGGTCAAAGACCGGCGAACATGGAGAACAGACTTAATCAGCCGCAGCGACTCAGCATCTATTATTTATCCAATCAGTGGTTGTATTTACCGGAATCCGATTGCTCATCGATGTTTTCTCGCAGTTCGCTTCCAGGGCTTGCACTCAGAGGAAAAGGAAAGATTTCTGAGGGATCCACACTCAAAATCCTTGCCGCAGATTCACTCAGTGGCGGTGTCTGGCACAGCAAACGAACTCGATCCGTTTTTGAATTCGATCGATGCTGCTTCCTGTCCGCATTCTTATCGAAAGCAGCGCCGTTCCACATGCAATCTTTAATCAATATATCTTTCAGGTCACCGGCTTGGAAGTACAGCGAGCATTCTTCGTCCAGAGAAAATGCCTCATCTGCCACGCCGAAGCAAACTGGCTGCTCTCTTGCCTCTTCGGTCGCCGCGTGCGGGGGCGAGCAAGCCGGAGAGATCGGTGGCGTCGGCGGAAATGAAAAATTCTTCCATAAGTCGTCGGTTGCTTCTTTACTCTTTGATTTCAAATCTTCTGAATCGTCGCCAAAATCTTTGAACAGCAATGGTTGAAGAGGATCGAAGGTGTTACCAAAGCTTTCCAGAAGACTACTGACAGACATAGTCAATTTCTTCAACGCACTGCAAGCGGAGACAAGTTAGAATTAGTGTTGAGTCATAGCTTAGCGTTCGCGTGATCATGTGTGTAGTAAAAACCATATACTCAATCAAAATCATCGGTCCGAAAGACTCCGAACAATATCGGTCCCTTACCTTGCTACTAATAACCACGGACAACTTCAGTTCTATGTGACGAAGTCTGGTGAGGTTCACCAGTAACAGATACTTCGAAACGCTCGATAGTACGTTCGGCGAGCAAATGCGAAAACTTTTGAGGTTCACGCTAATATTCAAGTCCATTCATTCAAAATCAAACAATGCGACGGCTTGGGTACTAAAATATCCCTCCTACGCTAATCAGGGCCCACGCGTTAACGAATGAGGATATTCCGGCTTGAATAAATTAAATCGTGCGCGGGAACGGTACAGAGAGACTATTTTTTCCTTCGCTACACAGAGTGAATGAGGCTAGCAAGTAAGGGACAATTAACTGCACTATCAGAATCAAGAGGTGGCAATGACTTGCTTTCATAACAAACGCAATAGTTCAACTCGGCAATATTAATATTCATAACACAGTGCTGTTTTAGCAAAGACTGTTGTTTGCCGAAGCCCAGCTGTGACGAGGCTGACAAAAGCGCGGAATTGTGGGATGTACGCCCCAATAAGGCCCTTGGAAACACCACGTTTTTGGTGCTACGCTAGACACAAAAGACATGACATGAAACAATGGAGACTTAATCTAAGCCTTGACAAGTAACTAGTGTTCCATTGTCAACCACACCTGTGCGACCGAACATCTGGTCTTCTTAGAAATTGGTAAAATTGCGTGAAGTTTCCTTTGTGCTGTCAGAAATTCTTAAAACAATTTTCATTTAAGAAGACATTTCGAAGACAATACCTCACTACACGGCACCAAATGATGCAGTTTAACAGTAGTGGAATTTGACGTGTAAATTTAATCAGCGCATTTGGCCGAAGTTTCGAGCTCCTGTCGATTTAGATTAATATCTTGCTGAAGTTGGTTTCGGTTTCCAAAAGACAAAATATTAACTTTCACGACCCAAGCTAGATGAAATCAGACACTTCCAAATGGATTATGTAAGATCTCTTTAGCTCGTTTATCCAGTATCGTTCCAGAGACTGTAGGTAACAAGCTTGTATGGACAAAATGGTCATTCAATATCCCTTCGTTGTGTTTTGTATTGTTAAGCGTCATTTAAACTTCTGTGGTAAGGTTTTGATATCAGTAGAACATAATAATAATAATCATAATTGTTATTATAATGATAATAATTATGATCCTGAGAAGACTCTCAGTGATACCTTGTGTTCCAAAACAAGCAACGCAATCTAGAATAAAAAGGTGGGAATATTATTCTACGAAGAAAGCATCTCTGAGAATCTGAGTTGCGCTGATTTTTGGTGGAAGTATTTATCGAGGATGCATTTCGTTTAACCACCTGCCGCAGTTAAGCAAAATCGGAAATCCTTGCAGCTGTTTACATTGTTACGAGCAGATGGTTTGGACGCTGTGCAGCCGGCCGGATTTCTAAGCTACACATCACTGCCTACTTATGTTATTTACCGTTAGTTTAAATCCCAGCAGCTGCTTCTTAACATCTTGAAAACCTAGGGCGTCTTAAAATATACTACAACATTCTTAAATGTTGTCACCGTTACCAAAAATATAAAACCCTAAGCTATAATTAAAAAAGCCAAGTGCAATTTGCGATGGCGCTCATTTCAAGAATGCTGAAACGTGATCAAGGTCTTTTATAATCATCCTTTAAATTTTTAACGCCTCCATTTCATGACAAGGTTTCCTGAACTCAAGTCGAAGATGATACGGGCCTTCATATTTAATTGCTTTCATGATTGTTATCATTACATTTCTACACTAATATCTATTTTTAATCCTACAATTTAAACTGCTCTGTTAGAGAAATGCTTCAATTTGTATTCAAAACTTTATATACGGGTGATCAGGTGGCTATATTGCGCTGATGCGATAACACTGTAATAAATATCTTTTAAAAGGATCAAAATTAAATTGCAGCAAAAATTAAAGGAATCTTTGAATAGTTCTTTGTGTACTAACTAATTGGAGACAAAGTAATGCCCTGTGTTCGAAAGAAACCGTTAAATGGCCTTAAATTCATGGGCTCCTTTTGTTGTGGCTTCTGGTATTTATCTGAATCAACCGCCCGCAAAAAGCTTCAATACTGCGTGAAAGCATATAGTGTCAGTCGCCGAAACATGAACACAGGTATTCCTTTCATACACTGTTAACCAAACAAAATACAAAGGTCTAAAATTGTCCATCACCTCTGGAGTGTATTTTTATTTAGTGCATCTCATCCTTAGTGCCTATGAAAACATTGTCAGCTAATAAGCTGGAATATTCAATTTGGTAAACAAGCGGAATTATCTACCACACCGGATATTGAGTAAACCTTTTAGTCACATCACGCATGCTGGTCCGCTTCCGGTCAAACTCTCAAAATAAATACGACTTGTCACGAATGTCCTGAGGGATCAGTTCACAAAATATTGACATCATTATGCGTGGGTTTAAGCAGAGGGAAACACACAAAGGATTTTGAAAAATATTCTTACATCCATCACCCCAGTAGGCGTTGATATGTAACAAACAGATACGTTTTGGTATGCGGTTGAGCGAACACTGAGAAATAAATGGATATTAGGCAACACAAGAAAGGAAACGGATAGCTTCCGCCGCCCAATAGACAGAAGGTTTTTAGAAGAAAAATTTTTGTGATTTTGAGTACTGCGCTGGTTGTCATAGGAAGCACAAAATCTTAGCAAAATTAGTGATTATTTTGGAGTGATAATTTACAGATTTGAATGGCTGATTTCGGCAGTTGATTATTGTGGAACTTGAAGACGAGTCTCAAAACTAGAAGAAGTTGTATAAAATGTTAACTTAAGCCCCCGAAAGGGACTGCAAAAAAGTTTCATTAATTAATATAAATCAAGAACCAAACAGACCTTTTTCACCGATGTTTTTCGTTTTCAAAGCGACTGGAAAGATTAAAAGGAACATTAGAGAACATTTTTCAAGTGGCGTAAATAACCATTGCCTCTTTAGTTAGCAGAAAGATAAGAAAAAAAAACATGACAAACTGAAAAAATTCCTACTGACGGCGCAGAAAGTATCTATCAAAAGAAGAAAGAAAAAAGACAATTAACTATCAAACAATGAGATTCAAATCTGACATGAGCGTGGACTGCAAACTTGAGCGCTTTTTTTTTGTTTTTTACTTGCCATTGGAAAAGAACACCCGTACATTTGGCAGGTTTAAGGGATTTTAAGACTTACAAAGGAGCTTAGAACAAGAGCATCAGAATGACGCCCCCGCAAAAAGGCGGACAGTTCAGTATTGCAATTGCACAAAAACAAGCCAATTAAATGATATTATTTGGAAAAAGAACACCGGCTGAATAAAAACAGCTTTCAATGGAGGAACTCAATTATAGGAATCGAATTTTAATATTTGAAAACACGAGATACACAGAAATGTAACGGATAAGTCTCAGTTCTAAAAAAATTAAAAAAGAAAAAAACGTTTAATTTAAAATGCAATATTAGCGAGAGTCGTGTGACTAGTAGAGTAAACAAGCATGTCTGTCTTTTAACCAATCTTTTCCTCTTTTTTGCAATCTTCTTCGCTTCTGTCTTTTTACGAAAGGCTGTGCGTTGCCCAGACAACTAAGACTCGTCCACTGTTTTGTAAGAATAAAGACCGGTTGCCACGCGCAAAACTTGAAAAGGGAAGGACATTTTTTGTAGGAGAAAAAGAATCCGCCCTTTGAAACTGTACCAGCAGGTATCGAAAGGAAGCTCTTGAAAAGGTGTTCTCCATTTAATGAAGGATACTTTTAGAGGCTCTTTTTGTAAAACTTCTTTATTAACTCAAACCAAAACTTTAAACTTGGATCACTTAAGTTACTTACCGCTACTTCCGTCGGAAGGGAATGCGGTTTTATGCTATAATAACTCGCGGACCTTTTGGGTTGCGAACGTCGACTACAGTTCAATTTTCTCCCTTCACTGTGGAGTGTTGTTAACACCTGACTTACAACTTGTTCAACTGAGGTTAAAGAAACGGAGTCGTTCAAAAATATAAATAATCATCGATGAAATTTTCGTTGCAAGTGAAACGCTGTTTGTAGTATGATTTTAAAATGGTATTCTTTGCTATTGTTTAAGACTTGATTAAAATTTCCGTTGAGTTAAGGACGAAAATCGTTCTTTATATTCGATCCGTTTGGTAGGTTTATTGCAATATTGGTTCTTCTGAGAAAAATAAAAAATTAACGGTCGGTTTATATGAGAACGAATTTCTTTTGCCCTTATTATCGTATATTTTGCTCTTCAACCTTTTCTCCTCGATGTTTCACTATTGTGTCTATCAGGTTTGCTTTTAGATACCGTTACAATAATACTGTCGGAGGTTGTCAAACAAAGGGTGTTCGTTAATCCTTATTTTACTTACAGGGAGGTCTATAACGGAGCGAGATATCCGGCGCCCGGCGATAACATTGTTCAGAAAACACACCACTCAACAAGAAAGCCTTCCAAAATCTTAATTTGAATAAGTAATTTTTCTTATTAATTCTGTCCTTTTATCAAAATGGATCAAGAGACGAAACATGCTGTCATTAAGATATGATAAACCACACGACAACTATCAGCACACACTTTCAACTTTCAGACAAATACCCTCCCACCTACTCGTCTACTTTATCTATTGTCCTAACGAAGACGGAAAAGGAACATTGAATTTTAGATTTACCAACAACACGTACAACAATTGTAATTCCCCAGTTTTTTCCTTCAGTTTGATGTGCTTTATATATTCATGTTTACGAACTTGGTTCCTTTACGCTAACGGCTACAAAAATTAATGGTGATGACAAAAACGCTACTTGAGCCACAAAGTAAAATAATACAGGACAAACCAATGATTATATGGCAGCCTCCAGGCATATTCAGTCGAAATTCAAAGTGAATAATATAAGTTTTGGCTGAAAACAACTACCCCTCGCACTTGAAATATCAATAAATGAAAGCTGCATCACGAGTTAATCAGTACCTTAACAGCAGAAACTGTGACTAAGAAGTTAAGACTTTAAATTGCTCTAATAATATTAAATTCAGTAAACATTTTTGAATCAGAGAATCGAGACTCATAGAAATAGACTTCGTCTCCCGCCATTATTATCATCACGACCAAAAAAAAATGAAATCGAAGTTTGCTTATATATCACGACTTTCCCGATCGCAATCCACCAGGTAGGACTTCTTTAGACATCAAGAATGATACATGAAACTGGTTCTTACCTTCATGGATTTGGTTTTGACATAAATTCTTTTTGAAAAGTAATGCCACTATTAGACATGATGGTAAAAATAACGAAAGGTGAAGTTTGACTTCAGCTTTACAATGATTTTATTATTTTTCAATATTTATATTACGCAACAACGACTG